AGTAGATAAAGACGGATGAGCAACAACAGTTGGAACTGGCTCACAGACTGTCTCCATCAGTCACAGCTTCATTTAAGGAAAACAAATCAGCCACCAGGAAACAACAAGAGGCAGCACTGTGTTGCTCTGTGTTGCTACTGAACTCAAAGCCATAGTACAATTAACAGCTCTCCTCTTCAGGGTTGTTGTGCACCACTCCCAGCACTCCTGCAACATCACCCAGCAGTATTTCATCGAATGTTTGTTTCATCTCCCCATCACACGCTCTTTTATTCAGCTGCACAATACTGTCAAGAATCACCTGCACTGATAGTTAAGTTATTTATTTTTCAGGATATAGTTATATTGTTACTTTGTTAGAGTTATTTGATATTATATTTGTATTACTGTATATTACTGTATATTACTATTCTTATTGTATATGTTGTATATCTTATTCCTCTGCTCCTCTGTCTCTCCTGCTACATTGAGCATGTGTACGACAATAAAATTCCCTCGGGATAAATAAAGTTCTACTTATCTCATCTCATCTCATCTCATCTCATCTTATCTTATCTTATCTTATCTTATCTTATCTTACATTCAAAGCAGTTCTGCACTTTTGTATTTGGTGCAAACTGTTCTAAATCGCTCATGTACAATCATGCAAACATATCACGGTGCAAGAAGAGCAAATATTATATCCTGTAAGTATAACTATGGCGGTAGGAATCAAAGACAAGAAGGGAGAAAGCAACTGCATACTCTGAGCTGTTACACTGGTGAAAATGAACACAAGATTTAAAGCTGTGGAGAGCTGGAGGCAAAGAGGCTTGGGTACGCTTCTTTGTTTGGATCCAGTCGTCCGTTAGTCGTTAACGAACTCTACAAATTCAAAAAAACTGAAACAAACAGTCGCATGTCTTCAGATGGAAGGCAGGGATAGACCCACTTATTGGCATCAATTTTCTACTTACCTCTCAAAGCACTTAAAACAAGCTACATTACCTCCACTCTCACACCCAGGATC